TGAACTGATGAACTAAAACCATATTTTCCTAGCATGCCACTAGTACCCTTCCCACCCACCTCATCTCTCTATCTAATTAACCTGCTCCTTTGGTATCCCTCATCATTACCAGTGATATTAACAGTAGCTATATCCTTTCTGTTTATATTCTTCATATTTGATCTTTCGTAGATGGTCGTCAGAGCGGACGGCGGGGCAATGAAGGACGAAGAGAGCGGGGAGATCCTGCAGGAGGAGGTAGTTGCCCTTCGGAGGGACCCCCAGCGTCCCTCGTTCCTCTTAGGGGACGACCTCGGCAGGCTGGCGGAGCGGGAGCGTGGCCGGAGACACCCCCGGGCGCTGCGGATATTCAGGATCAAGGATGCCCTGCTCGAGTCGGACTTGAGACTCCGGGAGGGAATCCAGACCTCGAGGAACAGTGGTTCAGACTCGCACCGCTCCTGGTGTGCTCACTGCAACCAAGGCGATCCTCAGGCTGTGTGGTCTGAGTATTACGGTCCGGTGCAGTCAGATGGTATAAGAAGGAGTACTCTGTTCAGAATTCCAGCGAAGTACCTAAGGAATATCGACGCCGGGGACTCGTCCAAGGACCCGAGCATCATCACCGTCAGTATCTGGCAGGAGTTCATTCACGGGACGTCGGTGCTGGAGCAATACAGATCGCCAGAGGACAAATACGAACGCAATCTGTATAACTCCATCTTGCATCACCTCCATCGCTACTTGCCTTATGGATGCGTCGCTTTCTTATCGTGGCTCTTCTTCCTCTTCATGTACTTCGGTGTCTGTTGCAATTGCACGATCATCCTGGAGCTCGCTTGCTGGCTCAAGTTTATGGCTCACCTGGAAATCCACCAACAAGCGTACAAGTCTAAATTAAATGTAATTTTTAACGGTAATGCTTTTCAGGGTCCGTGCTATATATTGCTTAGATGGCACTGTGAACACTGTACTCAGAAGGAGAGGGAAAAAGTAGTCAATAACTTAATGAAAAAAATGAAAATAGATATTCTAGGATCCAGTTCTCCGACGTAGCAGATTATATGTGAAAATAGCATATATTCGAGCTTAGGGGGGAAAAATATTAAATTTGCGAGAGAACAAAAGAACAAAAAAAAAAAAAAAAAAATCTTCCAGGGCTGTGACGTTGTAAGTGATGCGAATGACTAAGCTTTTATGCCTTATGAAGGTAAAGCTCGGAATTCGGAAATGACTCTTGAGCGATGGCAATGCAACGTTATACATTTTTAAGGATATGTATATATGTATATAATAAAAACCTGAATATATAACATTTATTTTATTTTTTTACATTATGTGTATATATAAATACACACATATGAATATGTAATATACGCCATTTATCTATGACAGTGGATACTGTACGAAACTTAATATAAAAGAAAACGCAGAGTCGTCACTTCCACATTTAATTTACCAAATGTCATCGGTCATAATATATTTCTTACCAACTCTTCGAAAACCTAGAATTGTATAATTGTAGTTAATAATTTATAAAGGAAAGAATAATGATAAAAAAGCTAATTTCTATCTTGTTTCTATAAACAGTTAACGTCTGCAACATTGCATGGCACCTCAGCTGGATGCAAACCACTCCACGTACTGAATCTAGCATTGGTAAAGTATATAAACACAAAAATGGTCTTTTAACGGTGTAGTTAGTCACAGTAACAAACTTCCAGCAACGTCAAGGTTATTCATGTCACTGCACTGAGTCACTGTTCCATGACAAGACGAAGAATTGGTGCAAAATTGAACGACTGACAGAAAGGAGGGAAAGCCCCTTCGAGAGAGCAACTGCAGTAAATTGCTTGGGAGTAATGGCCAAGGCAAGGCAGACAAGGAAAACATGTACAGAAGGGCAGTGCAGTGACAACTTCTGTGACTTAAGCGGTATATATATATTGGAGAATTGATACATATGAGGATAAAAACAAGTAAGGACAAGGATGCTCCCGGTAACATTTTCAACGTTGTTACTAACAAGAAAGCTTACGGCAAAATATCCTCCTGCCATCTTTAGTCTAAAATCCTTTGATTATAATGAATGTAACATGCATAGGTCAGACAAAATGATGATAGAAGCAACTAGATTCAAACAATTCACAAAAGTATGACGTAGATAAGTAGAAATAAAAGCAAATTACTGGAAATACATTTTTTTTTTTTTAACATTGTATTTTTAGACTATGTTCATTCTAGACACAAGTAGTAATTCCGATATTACAGTTATCTCACAATTGTAACGATATACTTGGAGCGAATAAAAAGATTTAGAAAAAAATGTATTTTGAACTTTAAACGTGCAAGTCATATTGTATATCGACAAAGAAAAAAAAACATTAAGGATAGAAATACAAGAAAATGGAAGCGAAGAAAATGTTTATAAGGATAAAAGTTAACCTTTTTTCTAACCGAATTATATTGACGATTTGTTTAACAAGGTGCTTTATCATACTCTGCATGAAGAATCTTTAAT